GGGGGGGGGGGAGAAGCAGGATGTTTTTTAAAGCTCCCCACGTGATTTAACAATTTTTTTATCATGGAAAATTTCCAACATATACAAACAGCATTGTGAACACCATGCACCCGTCACCTGGCTTCAACAGTCACAGTTCACAGGCGAACTTCGTCACCTCTACCCCCCACCTCGCTTCCCTGTTCCCCCCACTGCCCTGACACTTACTTGGTAGCCAGTCTCAGACGAAGCTCATTATTCATGCATTATCAGCATGCACCTCTAAAATAAGTGCCAACAGAACACTTTGATTCCTCAGTATCCAAACCCCCAGCCAGTGTCCAGTCCTCCCTCAGTGCTGGTTCACAGGAGGTGGGTCAGCCACTGTGTTTCACCCTCACTCTCATTCTGCAGACTACCCCTCCCTCTTCTCTTTCCATTATTTCATAGTTTTCCACACTCACACTCTGAACTTGGCTGACTGCAGCCCACCAGGTTGTTTCACATGTCCTGTTTACTTCTAGCAAACGGAGAGTAAGGCAGAAAGACTTTATATTGGGTTTAGAAAAGGGATATTTTGGCCAGACTACTTCAAGAGGTACCACGCACCTCTGTCAGGAAGCAAACACTGCCTGGGCCTTGCTTCCGACGAGGATAAGAATGGTCAGGACACCGGTGCTGACAGCTGATCCACCCACGACAAACTCCCACCAGGTTTCCACCAGAAGCTGCAGCAGCCACTGAGGCCCCTGCCGAGACTGCTCCTTTACTACCGGCTGCCAAACACCGATGGTCAAGCAAAAAGAGATGGAGAGGTGCCGACCAGGAGCAAGGCCACTCTTAATGCCAAAGCAAGCCTTCCTTAGTGAGCACTCTCATATATAGGATCCAAGCGAACTGTGCATGCCAGGAACTAACTCACAAAAGGTTTCTCACCTACGAACCCAGGGATTGGTGCGCCTCCTCACTTAAGGGGCAGGGTGCCCTGTGCCAGTGGGAACCAACTGGGCCCAAATTGGGAGCACAGCCCCGTGGGGCCTGGGCGCGGCCCAGGAGGACGCCTTCTCCCAGCTGACTCCTCTGTGCCGGGTCAGGAGCCCCACCTGGTCCACAGGCTTTCCTTTCCTTTCACTCAGGTATGTCAATCACGGGCTTAGCATCCAGAACCTTCAAGACAGTTTTGAAATCTATACAAACCAAATCCAGAACCCTGTCTTCTGTTAACACGTGGGAACACAGAATGAAGGCTACCCAGGAATTCTCTATACTTTTTTCAACTTTTCTGTAAGTCTGAAACTACCTCAAAATAAAAATTTTAAACCTTTCTTTAAATTTTTTAAATTTAAAAATGACTGCCCTGTCTTTGAATATTTAAAAAACCACAGTGATCAAGTTCACAGTCTGAGTGCTAGGTCTGGATGCAGAGCAGACCAGAACCACCGCACTGGGCCCCGAGTTCTGGCCACGGGGCACCTTCCCCAGGCTCGCCTCCTACCTGACATGCTCAATTGCAAGTGCAGTCTGGTCGAACGCCCCAGAGCCATCGAACACCACCCAGAGCTCCTGCAGGGGCAGCCGCTGTCCCTTCAGGTCCAGGAGCTCCCTCATGCACTCCACGGTGAAGGTGCTCACTTGAGACTCGCAGAGGTACGGGTCCACCAGCCTCACCACAGCCTTCAGAGCCGCAAAGTCCACATCCGTGACCTCAAGTTTAAAACAAGGGACTTAACACACAGAAATCAAAACTAAGATACACACACATGTCACTGCCTATAGACTGATTTTTTTTTAAAACATATAATGAGAGTGGAGAGCGTTCTTCCTGAATACAAGGATCAACAAGGACAGGCCTGGCGTTGACCCGCATGGAGCTTAGGTTGTAATCAAGGAAACAAACCAACGAGATGGTGACAAGTATGTGACAGAGGCTAACTAGCAGGGGTGGGGGCTGCTTTTACTTGGGGAAGTTACTTGGGAGCCCCAATGAAAAGGGTGAGACGAAAGCAGCCATCTGGAGAGCAGGGGAGGTGCAAAGGGCCTGTGGCAGAGACCAGCTTGGCAGCTACAGGAGCAGAAAGGCGGAATTTCCTGCTGGAACCAAAGAAAGGAAATGGCAGCAGATGGGGGAAGGTTGGCGGCGAGCAGCAGGAGACCAGGGCATGAGGCACAGGGGAAGGAGCCTGGATCTGATGTGCTCTCTAGCAAGGAGGAGCCAGGAAGCCAGACCCAGGCCTTTGGTAAATGCATCAGAGGTTTTAAGCGAGGAATGGCCATAAAGCAATGACCCTGATTCTTTCAGAGAACTGACTGGGGGAATAGGAAACAGGGATTGACTATCAACCTAATTAACAGGCCTGAACTGCAACCAAAGATATTAGCATAATCCAGAATTTGAGAATCCACAAGGAAACGCTGCACCCACTGCCCGGAACACCGTCGCTGCAGCATGGGATGTACATCTACAGGAGCTGCACCATGACTTGTATTTACACTCCCTGGTTTAACATTTTAGTTTAACAGGGGTTTTTGGTGGTCCAGTTAACAAACATGGAGAGCATTTCACAGCTGTAATTAGAGTGAAAATTTCACATGAAAGGCTCAGTTGGCCCTAGCTGATTTGGCTCAGTGGTTAGAGCATCAGCTCACAAACTGAAGGGTCTCGGGTTCGATTCCCATCAAGGGCACGTGGCCTCGGTTGCAGGCTCAATGCCCGGTCCTGGTAGGGGCGTGTAAGGGAGGCAACCAGTGGATGTGTCTCACATCGATGTTTCTCTCTCTCTCCTTTCTCTTTCCCTCTCCCTTCCTTCCTCCCTTCCACTCTCTCTGAAAAACAATGGAAAAAATATCCTTGGGTGAGGATTAGAAAAATTAAAATAAAAATAAATTAAAAGTAAAAGGCCAGTCAGTTGAAAAATGAAGTTGTTCTTCCTCTCTGCATTGGGACAGGCACATTATCAAGAGATTAACCACATATCTGAAGATTTGTTAGACAAAAAACAGGCTAGTTTCTAAAATGCCTATTTGGTTTGAGCTATTTAATGGGCTGCCACTAAGGTAAAAAAATTAACTAAAACCCCACTGACTTCATAATTAGGCGGCTTTATTTTTGAAATGGTCTCAAATACCTCCTCCACGTGCCGGGTGTATAGTCCAAGTCCCCTTGTCAAAGGACACTGGGACGTAAGCCACCCCAGTTCCCTGGCAGCTCCTCCTCAGGTGTCTTTAGATGTGCGAACACTTCACACACCCTGGTGATTAGATGTGAAAAGCAAGCTGTTTTCAATCAGCTCATAAACTTTAATTAAAAATCAGCGCTTTGGCCCTAACAGTCTGAAGGAAGGTGCCTTTGGCTAGAGACAAACGTCTTAATGAAGGGATGAAACATACCTCCACCAGCACCTCGAACACATTAGTGTGCCAGACCGCCCGCCATCCAGATGGTTCCAGCACTTTCTCTAGGAATTCAGCCGTGAACTCTCTCACCTCGGAGGCCTTGCAGTCAGCTGCACACAAATTAAACACAACGAGGAGAGGGCGTCAGCAGGTCCCTTTACAGCCGCGTGCTCAGGACCACGGTGGCTGTCTGAGGACCTGAGACAGACAACCTGCTTGTAACTGAAAGGGTGAGAAGCAGGACGGAGGGCCTGCTCACCTAAAATGTAATCCTGATAGGCTCGGAAGCGCTCGTAGAACAGAAGGTGGCTGGTCTGGAACATCTCTGGGAAATGTGTTTTCCCTTGCAGCACAAAGCTGGGCAACCGGGACCCTGGGCTGTAGTCACTGCTGCAGTCACCGCTCGAATCTCCGTCTTGGAACAAACCTGAAAGAACCACCCAATCATGGGCCGATGAACCCAGGCCCTCGGGGCTTATAGGTAGCGTCCACGTTCATGCCTAGCTCAGGAGCTCCGACAAGCTTCACTCCCCAACACTGTAGAATAAACCAGTTTTACTGAACTTAAACATATCTCCAAGCGCAGGATCTCCTTCAAATTGTTAAGACCCTGAGCTCCGTCATGGGCTGGGTCTGTTTCTGAGCTTTCCCAGGAGGCGGAGGAGGCACCTGTCACTGGATTCAGTGGAGATCACTCCAGTTCTCCTTCACAGGACAGCCATGACTCTCACTGCAGCCGGGAACGTCCAAAACTCAAATATCTCAGTCATTTTTGTCCAAAACAATTCTACAAAGCTGCCTTCAAATAAGGAGCTGGTTTCCTATCTTCCCTCTCAAATGAGTTGAAGCCGCCCTTTTATTTTCTATGCTATCAGTCTCTCAATGCCCCTCAGTAAACAGGGAGGAGAGATTCTTAACAAGTAAGGTTTGCTTCACCAGAGCTACTAGGTTCCTCCTAACTGCGAGGACCTTGTCAAAGGAAGAGAAAACGCCAACCACACCAGGTTTGGGCTGCGTGTAATTCTCTCTCGCGAAGTATGACCTAGCCAGTGGCATAGCGGATTCTGTACAACACCACGTTTTTAACAGACAAACAACACTGAGGCCAGTGCACAGACTGGCACAGTAGTTCCGGAAACTACAGGGGGATGGGAGGCTGTTACTAGAGAGAGTCAAGCTGCTCTCTTTCCTCCTTCCTTCTCACCCTTTACCCCTGGGGAGGCCGCCAGGGTTACGCGCCCCACAGGCGACCGAAGCATGCTCAAGGGTCTCCTGCTCACAAACACTGATGCACAGCAGCGCCTGACTAGCTGTGTAACAAACTCTGTGCCTAAGTTTCCTCCCTATAAAGATGAAAATAGATGCCTACTTCAACTAAATTAAGAGAACTAAATAAAGTATTTACTAATCACTTACAACAGTGCCCATCCCACAATATATATGTTTGTTGAAGAAATCACACCTTCACCTCACACCCATGAGGTGGCTACTATCAAAAAAGAAACAAGAAAAGCTATGGAGAAAACAAGTGCTGGCAAGGGTGTGGAGAAACAGGAGCCCCCGTGCACTGCAGGTGGGAATGCAGGCTGATACAGCCACTGTGGGAAACCGTGCAGCTTCCTCAGAAACTTAAAAATACAGCTGCCACATGACCCAGCGATCCCACTCCTGGGTATCTACCCACGAGAATTAAAAGCAGGGTCTCGAAGAGATATTCACACACCCACGTTAGAGCAGCATCACTCACAAAGCTGAAGCATGGAAGCAACCCAAGTGTCCAACGACGCATGGAACGGATAAGCAAAACGTGGTCTATGCACACAATGAGGTGTTATTACTCAGCCCTAAAAAGGAAGTTCTGCAATATGCTCCAGCATGGATGACCCTTGAGGACATTGTGCTAATTGAAATAAGCCAGTCACAGAAAGGAAAATACTGTGTAACTCCACTGACTAGTTACTTAGTCAAAACTCACAAAGGCAGAAAGTAGAATGGCGGTGGCCAAGGACTGGGGAGGGGGGAATGGGCAGTGTGTGTTCAACAGGCATAGTGTCAACTTAAGAATGTCCAAGTCTATAGAGAATTTCATAAAGATTGACTTGGAGCCAAACAGAGGACATGCCTGGAAGTAGCGAGATCTGAACAGACTGAGATAAGTGCTTCAGGAGCAGTAGTTTGCAGCTTCTTTCACGCATTTGAAGCCAGGGAGGGAGCGTAAAGAGGGACACGGGGTGGAACTGTAGGGCAGTAAGATCGCACGCTCTCTCAGGGATGACAGTCTGCTCCCCTTTGAGGGCTACTACTTCTGCACTTCAGAGGCTTGTGAACCTAGACGCCCACGGGCAATGGAACAGCCGGCCTGAAACCTCTCGCTGAAGAAGTTTATGCCCTGGCGGAGTGCCCACCACCTGCCCGGAGAGGAGTCTAGGGCCAGGTCGCCCTGTGAGGTCACCTCCACAGAAGCCCTTTTCATCCACAGTAGACTTCAGTTTTACAAACTGAAGAGTTCTGGGGATGGATGGTAGTGGTGATGGCTGCAACCACGTGAGTGTATTTTTAATACCAGCGGCCTGAACCCTGACACGGGGTTGATGGTAAGTGCATGTGCTTGAACGCGCTAGAGCCGCCTTACTCCTGCGCGGTCGCTCACAGCCACTCTGAAAGCCTGGTTTTCACCCGCGCTTGGCTCCATCTCCACCCCTCCGTGGCACCGCCTGCAGTTGTCCAGCTGGGAAAGCCGAAGCCAGGTGACTTCGCGCGGGGCAGTGGCGGCATTGGGTCACCTACATCTTCTCCCTCTGCCGGGGCTCTGTCCACGACACAGACCCACTGAACTGTCCCAGCCAGAGGCGGCCGGCTTCGAGCATGAGCAAGAGCAAGAGCATGAATGTGAGCAAGAGTAAGAGCAAGAATAAGAGCATGAGCACGAACAAGAATAAGGGCATGAGCAAGACTAGGCAGTGGGACCTCCCAGGGCGGAAGCGGGGCTGGGCGGAGCCCCGGGGGCCGTGTGGGGCCGCCCCTAACTCCCGGGCGACGTGTCACCTGCCCGTGGTGCTCCGTCAGCCGTGGCCGAGGGGGGAGGGGGGAGGAGGGGGAGCGGAGGCTCGGCGCCC